ACGTGAGTAATGTGTGCATTTAATGACTACGACGAGAAATAAGGTTGGGTAATTAAGTATGCGTTCGTGCGTGCGTACAATGTATTTGTGCTCTAATTTTGACAATCATACTTGCCTATCATATTTGGACAGCTAGTATTGCGGCTCTACAAAATTTTTGCAAGGGAGTTTGCGTCTAATTGTTGTATAAAAAAATTGGAGGTTTACACAAAGCGGCAAAGCCATATGGGCCACAATGAAAAAAAGTACACGTAGATAAAAATATTGTATAATGTGCTGTATCGCAGCATTCCACTGAAGTTGACAATTATTTATGGCCTCAAGGCATTCTCTCTTCTATTTTCGCTATTTATCATCCGACATCGCAAGTAGTCTCCGGCAGCATGTTCGGATATAGAAGAACTCGCTCAACTTGTGTGTTCTGTATACTTGACGATAGTAATAGCGCGAGGACAGAACGACGACAAAGAGACAAGAAGGAGACGAGCGCTTTGTGCCTGTCTCTTTGTCGTCGTTCTGTTCTCGCGCTATAACTATCGTCATGTCATACCAACTAGCCCAAACTACCACACCTCCAAGTTACGTTTCTGTATACTGCTTCAGAGCGTTGGAGTGAGTGAGCGTTGCAGTTGATTTGATTCAACCTGCGAAATTGCACGAACCATCGGGCAGCGTGTGATTTTGACGAACGGTATGGTAGGCACACCTGTTGCAGATAACACACCGGAGGGTTTCCTTCATTACGCTTGGAATAGTCGAGCCAGGGAAACGTGGACGCGTGCATTGGCACCCGCATGCACGAGTGTGCTTGCAACCTTCCTCTCCTAGCGGCCATCTGTTGTTCCTAGCGCTCCGAAAATAGAAGCCGCGTTTGGTACACAACGCTAGTTCGCCTTTTGAGATAGACGGAGCATTTTGGTAACGTTTTAAACACACGTTTACTATTGGGCCACCAGCCAATTATGTATAGTTACGTTTTTGTATTGAATTGTGTCGTTCTTGTGGGCTCCTGCTTGTACTGTTGCTTATAACTTCGTCTAACGTTGCACTTGCAGAACAAACAATTTGTCATAATAATGTTTTTAGCTTGGAAAGCACTCACTTCATCGTTAAGGAAGGAAGAAAACAACAACAACAACAACAACAACAACAACAACAACAAAAAAACGTTAGACCTGCATGGTGGGCACAGCACAGTCACAGCGAAAGCTAGAAGAGCGGCCTTTCAGAGCCTTTTCAAAACGCTCATTGGGGAACTACTGCAAGTACATTTGCTTTGTACCCACTAGGGCAATAATAATAAACTCCTGGGTAGTAGGCCGGCGTTCGCTATGCTATTTTTTGTCATTCTTCCGAGAAGCGTGGTATGCGCTAAACACTCGCAAAGAATTTTGTGCCAATTGTCCATGCAGCGGCTGACGACGACGAGGAATTATGGCTGAAGTGGGTATGCGCCACAGTTAACTTAACTAGGGGAACAAGAACAAGCTTTTGTGATGGTTTGGGGCATTGGATGACCCACTCGTTACGCTATTCGCATTGTGCGACGACTGGTTGTTCGTTCACTGTTGTAAAGCGCTTCATAAGTCGTATTAACGCGATTCCTATCGCAACATCAAGCCTGCCTATGAGGCAAGTTTGACAAGTCACAAGCACTGGTGTAGCTCAGTGGTAGAATACTGGGCCGGCACCCAGTGGACCCGGGTTCGAGCCCCACTCTGCCATTGGTGCTAGGTCATATGCCTGCCTGAGGCAAGTTTGACAATAAGTTACGAGCACCGGCGTAACTCAGTGATAGAATATTGGGCTGGCACCCATCGGACCCGGCGGACGACAACTGCGCGTGACCCGAAATGTGATCTGATAATAGCTTTTGCTGTTGAAAAAGAAGGGGGAGAAGCCAGCGGTGACGAATTGTATGCGAATGTCACATATAGCAAAGTACTATCCCAATCAAGGTGATCTTTGGAAACGTACATGGAGAACATTGTTGTCAAGGTTTGATTTAGGCACTCAGTAAAACCATTTGTTTGCGGCTGGTAGGCCGCAGTGAGCATATGACGCGTCAAACACGAGCGAAGGATGTCGCTTACAACTTTTTAAAGAAATGAGCCACCACGATCCGTCAGCCGCAGTCGAGGAGCGCCACGGTGAAGAATAATGTCATGAAGCAAGAAGATCGCGACTTCAATGGCACAACTTGTCGGTGGCGCTCGCGTGATGGCTTATTTTGTGGCGTAGTGAGTGGCTACGGCTACCTACTTGTTTCCAGCCAGAAAAATGGTCCAACAATCCAGATCGAGACCGACGCGGTGGAAGGGGATGGTTGAGATATTAGTTGCAGAGTACCACCTGGTGGCAAGGTGGAGTGCTTAGAGCACTGGGACGACTGACAAGCAGAGACGTATCGGCATACAGAACGGTAAAGGCCTGGCCAGAAGAACCTGCGCCGCATGCGATCGTACGTGATCGTGACACCGAGAGGTCCAGCGGTTGGGACGTCGTGAAGCTGTTCAATAACAGTGGATCGGAGTGTCGCAGGAACTACGAGTACTAGCTCTGGTCCCTCGGCACTGGTGTTGCGTCGGTAAAGAATGCCATCGCGTAAAACGACCAAGTGTATAGCGACGGGTCTACGTGGGGCCAACGTAGACGGTGCATGATAGACCACAAGTGGACATCGCTGAGCTGTTTCTTGCGTATGTTGGTGAAAACAGGCATGACATATACACATGGGTCATAATCATGTACTGAAAGGTCGGGTGGGTTCACGGGATGACGGGATAGACGATCGGCATTCTGTTGCATTCAGCCAGATTTGTGTGCCACGTCAAATCTGTATTCTTGGAGTTTCAAGGCCGAACGGCCAAGTCGTCCAGTTGTATCTTTAAGGGAGTACAGTTGGCGCAAGGCATGGTGATCCGTAATTACCAAAAAGGTGTGGCCAAACAAGTATGGTCGAAATTATCCGACTGCCCAGACTAGTGCGAGGCACTCACGCTCCGTGATGGAAAACTTGCTCTCCGAAGAAGAAAGGAGGCGACTGGCATAAACGGTGACGTGATCCTGTTTTCGTTGCTGCTGGGGGAGAACAGCACCGATTACATGTCCGCTGATACAGGTAGAAACTTCAGTTTAGGCTGACAGGTGGGAATGGGCAAGATGGGTGGGGAAGTAAATAATGTTGCAAGGGTCTAAAGGCAGTTGCTTGATCAGTACTGTTGTATAGTGGTTTTGGTTCGAATACATATGTTAGGGGGCGCTGTCCTGCTGTATACATTGTGGCACCTTGTGAATAAACGTGGCTTCGTGAGTGTCAGCTGGGTCTCGGCTCCTGCTCTCTCCTTCTTCACGGCCCATGCTCCGGGCGCTGGGCCCCTCTGATGCTCCGCGCATAGCGTCCGACGCACAACATTTTTGACGACGAGTTCTGCGGATCCACGGACACCAAGGAACAGTGGGAGCACCCTGCCTGCCGACTACTTCCGCTGTACCACTCACCCGTACTTTACCCCTGCATTTAGGCACTTCGGCTACGCAAGAAGTTGGCTAAAAGTTAACGTGCTGTGTCGGACGCTACTTTACGACGCCTGCTGCGGCTGCTGCTTATCTCCCGTTGCTCTGTCTCGCAAGCAATATGAACGCCGCCATTCCACGCACTGTTTTTCTTCAGTGCCCCGGTGTTCCTCCAATGCCTTGGATGAAAGGGCGCCGCGAAAGAGCGCCAGCTGCCATCCTTCTTGTTGACCAGCACGACCGGCGATGTTTATGGACTGAAGGAAGGTTCGTGGACGTCTTTTGTGAGAATGTTTTCAACTTCGTGCTGTATAACTTGTCGCTCAGCATTAGACACGCGATAAGGACGTAGTGGGATGGGGCTGGCATATCCAGTGTTGATCCTATGTGTTACAAGGGTTATCTTTAATTATATGTGGAGTTTAACGTCCCGAAACCACAATATGTTTATGAGAGACGCCGTAGTGGAGGGCTCCGGAAATTTCGACCACCTGGGGTTCTTTAAAGTGCACCCAAATCTGAGCACATGGGCCTACAACATTTCCGCCTCCATCGGAAATGCAGCCGCCACAGCCGGGATTTGATCTTGCGACCTGCGGGTCAGCAGCCGAGTACCTTGGCCACTAGACCACCATGGCGGGGCTCGTGAATTGGGAAGAAAGAATAATACGCGTGAAGGTGTTCGGACTTCGTAAGGGCAAGCATATGTGGCACAAGTGGGCGTTAAAAGAGTGAATTGATTCGACGAGCAGTGCAACACGCTTATTACAATTTCACGAAAAATAAGGAATAATATATCACAAACGGACCTTTATTGGGTGGTTTGTGCGACAACCTGTATACCAGAGACCTTTTGGTTGGCTTTCTTGCATCTTAAGCACACTCACTCAAAAAACGAAAGGAAGATTATTTAATCCAAAAGCAAGTACCTTATGCCACGAACCGGCGTCCAACGTTTGTCCCCAGACAGGCGTCCTCACCAAAAGCAGTGGCCGCAACTGTCAACTACCCTCCCATTGGTGGCGACCCGACGCAGCAGGCGCCAAAATCTTTTTGTATACATCAGCCATGACATTAGGAAGACCGAATTTGCCGAATTATGATATTAATCGTTTTTGTATAGAACTTGACGCCAGGATTTCAGCCGTACATTGGTACCGACCTTCAGAATGACTGAAATCAGGACGTCGGTTTTGAAATATGTATGCAGTCCTTGGCCTAAAAATATGCTGTACCCCCCACACACACACTCGCGAAACTAGCAATGTGCGGGCCGGACCTTTCATGGATATACGCTCAGGGACCACAATTTGGCACTCCTGTTTTAATGTATACGTGCAGAAAATAATTCACAAAATTGGGACTTACGGAAAAGGGAGTAATGTATACTTAGGATGTTTTAGTATGAACGAACAAACCACAGTTTTCTTCAACGTATACTTTTACGGAACATTAACAATCGTTCAGACAGACACAAGAGAAAGAAATTTGACTTGGACTTTGCACGTCCACAAAGCTGGTGTTTTATTAACTGCTTGCAGCCTCGTTACATAGGCCCTCTTGGTAGTCGGGAACTTTGGCGTCGCAAATGTCTTCAAACTGGTCGACACATTCTTGTGGAAATGTCGATACGTACGCTTTCTGCACCCACAGTATGCACACTAGAAGAAGGAAGTGACTGATGAGATTGGCAGCAAGTATTATTCGTTCGCAAGTTTACCAAAACAACAAACATATCAGAGAGCTGTTCGGTGTTATATTCAAACAAGTAAAGGTATATCGTCAGACAGACCGACCACTTGAAGGTGATGGCATGGACATTCCTAAAGCAATAGTCATAGCCCATACGCCTCAGCGTCTCTATCACATTCATCGTGCCAGCTCCAGGTACACGGTGAATTAAAGGAGGAAATTGAATTAACTCATGACTGTGCTTCATGTCAGACGAAGCTATAGTTATACTGCCTAAACAAAATTGACCTGCTTCGCACAGGTATTCTTTGGAGTGGCAGCTGAAATAACCTTCAAGTTTTTAGCCTTAAGTGGAGAAAGGCTGCGATGCTGTGAGTCCAAGTGCTCACCTTCGCCCTTGTACGGGAAGTTGGCGACAACGCAGTTCTTGTTATTGCTGTAGTCAAGTTTGACTAACGTAGGGTGCTTCTTGTCTGCAACAAAATGTGCAACAGTGATAATATTACAGCAAGACTTTGAAATCTGGTGAAAAAGTGTGTCCTTTATTTATGACTAGGTTACTACGCAATGCATTTTTCTCTGTATGTAAAAGTGTAAACTTGGACTTTTTAAAGTTTTTGCTGGATCATCGCGTATTCAATGCGAATAACAGCATCCCTGCCAATGGGTGAAGCAATGAATGCGATAGCAACACATCGTTCGCGCACAATCACACTGACAAAGCCGCGCATTCGAAGAAAAAAAGTGCCCAACGTCACGAGGCGTGGTAGTTTCTTTGCCCCTGCCCCCCTCTCTGCTTAGCTTTCAGCGCTTTCGTCGGGACGAAGGAAGAGATAGTGCAATTGCAGCATGTGACAAACCTTTGTAACTCTTCTCGCACTGGACGGATTCTTAAATTTTTTGCGGCGTTGAATTCGTGAAACAATAAGCTCTCCTAGTGAATTCATTCCATGGTTACTTGAAAACATGTTTTAGGGCCACTTCAATGTGTTTTGTTCGACAGGTGTCACGACGAAAACGAGTCCATTCGACAATAATAGCGCGCGCTGGTACAATGTACTGTGTGCCTGTGTGTATGTAACAAAACATATTAAGTATGCATTTCGTGGTTGAAGGGCGCACTAGGGGCCGGATTTCACTATCGCGTTCAACTCCTAAAGGCGAAGCTCAAGGGTCCCTCAATATTTGTCTCTGCTTCAGCCACGTTATCACCACGAGCTTTTCCTTGCGTCTAGGACAAAGAATGCGTGGGGCCTTTGTTTGGCTGAGTAGTAAATTTGGAATCTTACTGAAAATTGACTTTAATATTTTCAGCACGTGCCTGTATAGAAAAATCGCTACTTGAATTACGTCAAACCTGTTTGATGCCACGGAAATAAATGCGATTGGCTAGGAAACATAAAAAAAGTCTCCTTTGAGTAACAGAGAGCTAAGGAAGTTGTTACGCATTCATGTTATAAAAAGGCCGGGGATGCAAACACGGATCAAGAGATAAGTTGACCCACTACAAACGCCAAGTGAAAATGCACATGTCTGCGGACAAAAATGTAGGTACGAAAACTCCGTGTGTTCCAGAGCAGTAAGCGATACGTCCTAATCCCGGACTCGTGAGAATGTGAATGTGAGATAGCTGTTAAAGTGGTATTGACGTAAAAAGTTTTGGTGTGAAGTTTGAATATTTTAATATTTTTTGCTGCAAAAGGTTGCTGGTGGCTTATCAGTCGTAATAGGCACATCGCTTGTTGCAGAGCATGACCGAAAATTAAGTTCAATCTGTTTATTACCGAGCAGTCTTTGTTTACGTTTTGGTGAGCTCCGAGAAGAAGCCTTTGTGTGTGACAAACGTTATCTAGCCTGTGGAGCAGCACACAGGACAGTGGCGCGGTGCGGCGTTGCCTTATCACCAGCTCGCATCCTTTCGCATGCAGCATGTTCAATGCGTTATCGTTGCCGTTAGCGTCATCCTTATCCCTTGGTGTTAGAGACTTCGTTAAGGTTACCACAACTTCGCCGCTGTCACAGACTCGCATGGCGCAGCCGAAAAGTAATCCGCTGGCGTAAATGTGAGAGAATCGCAATGGCCACTAGGACGTCATGATTTAGTTGCGCATGTCGGAGCTCGGCCGCAGCGGTGACTTCAAGGAAGCTTGTCATTCACTTCAGGTTCCTTCTTTGATGTCAAGGTCGCGAGGTCCAGCACGCAGTGCAGGATCGTGCGCGCGAACATCAGAATTGACATAAATTGGCTTCCGAGCTCTAGTTATTGCTCAGGTTTATAATATGCGCAGGTTCACGAGAATCAATCCTTCAGGCTATGACCACCGCGAAATTTCCTGTGTGAACTGTGCTCCGTCAAGACATTTGATTTCTTTTTTTATGCGAGTTAACTGAGTAGCTCACGCCAACCATCAGTTAAGATAGAGCCAGTTTTAGAGCGAGCCTCACGCTAACTGTGGGATAACTTGCTCTTTGAAACGGAAAGCGATGACAGGGTGGAGCTTGAACTTATTCTTAGATTGTGACCATCTCCAGTGCTTAGTTGTAGTGTTTCACGGCTATCGTGTAGTTTGGATGTTGTTGAAATTCTTAGTGAGCAAAGCAAAATGTTTGGAAGCGATATATTCACCATGGTTTACAATGGCGAACACCGTGTCATTGGAAGGGCCCGGATAGTACTCGACCACATAAGTTTCACTGAAAAGGTCATCAACAGAGGCGACACAATTAGAAACACATAAATGTTCTCGGCATTCAGTGAAGTCTCTACGTCTGTTGGTGAAAATTTGCACTCCACACACACTAAAAATAATATATTCTGTAGTTTCTCTGCATTCAATTCTTCCAAACCAATTTCTATGCGTGCAGTAAAAAAAACAAAAAACAATCTCTTAACACTTAACGTCGCCACCTAGAAATGCAAGCTTTGTTGAGACACGTTTGATAACCGCCCTACTACACCTAGGCGCTCATTATTGAATGAAATTGATTTGGGATAATACCGCCATACCCCGAAACGTTATTGAAACTGAAATGCCATTAACTAAATCAGTCATGTTTTCACGATGTTCGCATCATGAAGACATGAGCATTGTAGAAAAATACGCGAAACATCTTGCCATACAAAACAAAACGAAAATATTCAGTCATCTTTCTCTTTCCTCCCACATACATAGAATTAAGGAATGATTTAAACTGCCTCAGTTCCTGGGGTCGACGTATGATAACGAGTTTGTGCTCTTAGGCAGCATATTTCTGATAGCTTGTACATCAACATGAACTGCAGGCGAGCTTGTTGCTATCCGGGAGGCGATTAGATTGATTTTAGAGCAGCGCAGAAGCGCTTTCCTGCCTGGTATACTTGGAAAAAAAATTACGGCATATTCACGGGGTGAATGATGATGAATGGGCGAAGCTCCGGAGAGATTCATCGGTAAACTGTGAATCTTCCGTGTAATTCGCCCAGTCGATCATCATGTAAAGACGTGAGAAACGCTGTGTGTGTATATACACAAATCAACTTTTATTTGTTCTTAGACGATGGATGGCTTGCGATGTCCCTTGCCTCGCACGCTCGCACATCGGGATTCTGTCTGCGAGCGCGCGCTGCTGCCGCCTTGCGCTCTCTCCGCTGTGCAGCCTTATCCATCCGGTGACTCCGAGCGCGCGCCAACAGCGAACGGATTTTATTACAACGCTCTCCCTAGCGTACGTCGCCGCACTTAATCGAACGATTGCCTTCAACCAATGACACGCGCCATATGTGACATCATTCCTATTTTATAAGATCTCGCGTCTTTCATCAACTACAAGTACCGCTTTCTAGTTTATAACATCTTGCATCTTTTCATCATCAGCTACAAGTACCACCATCTAGTAAACACTCCAAGAACTAAACGAGAGGTGGCTACATACAGGAGACAGTACCGCCATCTAGTGAACACTGCAAGAACTAAACTAGAGGTGGCTACATACAGGGGACGGTACCGCCATCTAGTGAACACTGCAAAAACTAAACTAGAGGTGGCTACATACAGGCTACAGGGGACGCACAGCCCACGCCCTAAGGAGCTTCGCCCCTAAAATTAATCTGTGAACCCTGTTTTGAACTTTTTCGAATGCATCAATCATGTTTTTTTTTGTGCGGGTTCCAACCTGTTTCTGAGGATGCTAGGACGGGTACAATGAGCGTTTAGTACGCTGTTAGTTTTGTAGGCTGCTAGTCTTTCATGAAAAATGTTTTTTACTCGTTTGTGACCACTCATAACTCGTACTTCGTGGTACTCTATCAAACGACGCCAAGCAGAGCACAGATTACGTGAGATATCGGTGTTAGAGAACGTTAACATGAAGTTGGAGCAAGCTATAGTTGTGGGTGAACGGGCTGATTAGTCGAGCCACTCGGACTCGGGTCGAACGTCCGAGTGAGAAATATTTTGGCGAGTGCGAGTACGAGTGAGTTCGGTTGAAGAACATTTTCGTGAGAGTGAGCTTGGACGAGCCGAGCTCAGAAAAATTTTGATGAATCTGAGTCCGAGTGACGCCCAAGTGCAAGATATATGTCATGAGTGAGTCTGAGTGAGCGCAACAATTTTTTACTGAGCTGTACTCGGGGGTCTGTTGTACAGTACCTGTGCTCTTCGTGGGACTACTTTTCGTGCAGTTATAATTAGTGTGTGCTGTTCGTGTGTTTACGTTGCATCATTATTTTCACACTATTACGTCCTATTGCATGCTTGGTTTTGACGTGCCCAACTGTAATCGTCCTTCTCCCTCTTTAAACGTATACCCCTACAATGACGCCTTTGGGTGAGTGTTGTAGTGATATATGGTAGGGAAAACAAGCAAATAAACGAAACTACTGTTCGAAAAGCTCCTCGATTTCTAGAAATCATTTTGTGAGTGCAAGAGTTTCAACTTGTATGCGCAAATCCTCCCTATTCTCTCATCTCTTTATGCACACGTCTATGCCTAAAAGTGATACATTCAATTAAAACTGCTCACTTCTCCGACCCCGGGTTACCATGCAGGTTCCAGGTATAAACGACCTTCTTGTTCGGCTTGTATTCCTTCCTCTCGGCGGTCAGACATTCCAGGCTCGGGTCTTGGCTGGACGTGTACACTGCCACGCCATCCGCAAAGATGTCAAAAACCTGCGCGCAGATTTACCAACCCTCGGTCGTCAGATGTCAGCTCTGTTACCTACACGTCGACACATGAATCAGCGCGTAAAGCTACAAAGGACGAAACGATGTTCAGAGCAGGCAGAGACTTTCAGTGTGATGACGTGATAAGCGGGCAACACACACACACGCACGCACGCGCGCATGAACGCACGCACGGATGCAGGGATGGACGCACGGACGGACGGGCGCACGGACGGGTGCACGGATGGGTGCACGGATGGGTGCACGGATGGGTGCACGGATGGGTGCACGGATGGGTGCACGGATGGGCGCACGGACACACACACACAGACACAAAAAAGAACCGGAGTCGATCCACAACTGTGAAGATGGCAGTCAGCGAAGCTGTGACTATGATAGGTTTGTCAAAGTATACTGGTGAAGAAAATTCAAGACTTATTCCGGAAGCCTAGTATACCGGAGCTCCTCCGTGCACCAGTGGTGCCCACTTCTATTTGCCTGTGTGCGCGTAGCGCAGCCAGTCGTGAATCTGTACCGACTCGCCCATTTCGTCATTGGTGTTGCTGTTGCGAATTTATAGTATTGTTGAGCAAATAAGGAGTGATACACCGTAAGATTCCTCTGTTTCTCGTACGCATGAAGTACACAATTTCATCTACGACGGTCAAAGCTATCTCAAAACAAAATATTGTAGTACGAATGAACCCCATTGTTTGGAAAGGACAAAAAACGCCAGGCCTGCGCGGAAGGCGCAGCACAGTCACAGCGAAAGCTAGAAGAGCCGCCTTTCAGAGCCTTTTCTAAACACTCGTTGGGTAACTGCTGCAAGCTCGCTTGCTGGGTACCATGCATTACGGCATTATTAATAATAATTTCTTGGTAGTAGGCCGGCATTCGCTATGCTATCTTTCATCCTTCTTGTGAGAATCGTGGTATCCGCTAAACACTTGCAAGGAATTTTGTGCCAATTGCTCATGCAGCAACTGGCGACGATGAGGAATTGTACTTGAAGTGGGTATGCGCCACAGTTAATAGTTGATCAAGAACAAGCTTTTGTAATGAATTTGAGCATTGGATAATCTACTCGTTACGCTATTCGCATTGTGTGACGCCTGGTTGTTCTTTGCGGTTCTAAAACGCTTTATTAGTCATATTAACGCGATTCTTTTCCCGAAATCAAGCCTGCCTAAGGTAAGTTTGCGAACAAGTCCCAAGTACCGGCGTGGCTCATTGGTAGAACACTGGGCTGGCACGCAGAGGCCCCTGGTTTGAGCACCATTGTGTCCTTCGTACTATTTCTTTTTTTTTTTGTGCGATAGAGGTGACGGACACTGGCGGCGGCGGCGGACAACTACGGCGCCACGCGTGACCCAAGTTGTGATGTCAATAAATCTTTCGCTGTAAAAATGATATGACGAAGTCTCGTCGTTTTGCAAAAAATTGATGACGTCATTCGTCTACCAAATCGGCGAAATCATGCACCTGGATGTCTACCTCTACGTCATGTCCTCTTTATCACCGCAAAACGCTGGTTTGTTGGTTAGTCAGAAACGCTGGAATCGGTTAGTCAAAGATTGTTATTCTGTGCGTTTTTTGTCCGCGGATGCGATTAACCCCAACCTCGCCCTTCACAGCCCCGCTAAAAAAAAGAGCTATTATAGCATCTCGCTTTGAATATGTGTCTTCATAAGTTAATCAGTCTATAGTCGCTACCCGCTGGCTTCCATGTATTATGCACTGCTGTAGAAATAATTTTCAGCATCATTAAAGAGAGCACACCAGCATTATAAGCCAAAGGTGAATTAAACGCACTGGTGTCTATTCCTATAGGCTCACGATTCTGAAGCTACATCCAGGCATAGGCATGAACTTTATGACAAGCGATGCGATCGGTCTCTCAAAATGTTTGTATCACGATTCTGAAGTTTCATCCAAGCATAGGCATGAACTTTATGACAAGCGATGCGATCAGTCTCTCAAAATGTTTGTATTAGTAACTCTGTTCAAGCTAAATTTCAATATCACCCTCTGCAGAACGTTAGAGAAGGTAAGGGTGAATGAGAACATGGCCACGAACTCGGTCATTGCTGAATTAATTACCTTGAGTAGCCTTGTTATACACGCAAAGAAACCGTACGCAACCACCAAGTCATACGTGTATGGATTTACAAAAGTGATTCGCAGCGGTGACAACCGGAGCCTCACCTGAAAAGCATTCGTTTGGTTTCTGCGTAGCTTGTGTTCACCTAGGCACAAAACAGTCGGCAGCAGGAACGCCAGCAATGTGTGTACGACGATGACCGTTCGGGACATTCTAACTTCAGGAGTTATTATGCCCTGCCCACTTGCCTCCCAAATGATAATGATTTTGAGCGAAATATTCAACCCGCTTATAAGCCGATGCTCCCTCTCATTACCAGCCCTTACTTTTTTCGCTTCGTGACCCACATCATCACTGTGAGCGACAGGTTGAAAGTTGCCTAAATTGAATCAGCCCTTGGCATCAAATAATACTTAGGGGCCGTCTGCACCGACATCAACTGCGTAAGGCTTGAGAAACAGTATCCGATCACTTTATATAAAATTCTCTGCTGTGTTTTTGACTGTTGCCTATTCAATTGCAAATGAGGATGAAATATTTGAGAGCAGACTTCACTCTCCTTCGTTGGCTGGTTAGGGCTCCTTTCAATAAGTGAAAATAGTTAATTCTAGGGTGTATGACACTTACGTTAGTTGTCAGGAGCTACAAAAGGCTCATTCCTATAGATACGTTGCTTTGCAGTTTTACGTCACAGTGCATGACACTTGCTCAGGTGCTTTCGTAGGGGGAATGATTTAGAATAGTTCGCGCACGTATTCTCGTGACATTCCATCAGTTCAGCTCGCCACCCTTGGGAAGTCAGCTAAAGGCTGACAGGATAGCAAGATGACAAGCAGGTTGACAAGCAAGTTGACAAGGAAAATATGGTTCGTTGCACGACAATTGCGAAAAAAAAAAGCATGCTTGCATTCAGCATTTCTCGATTGGATAGCGGCATGTAAGCGAAAAAAGAAACAGCTTCAACTTTCATTTACCATTCTTACGCTTATGAAAGTGTGTTGTTGGAAAAAGCTTCTGGTAGAACACGTGTCAAAGTGTGTAGAAGTTGATACGTTTAAAGTTTAGGCATTGCAGATGTAACGAACGTCACTCGGAGCAAGGCGCTCAACCTCAGAACAGAAGGTTTGTTGCACGTTTCAACAAAAAGAGGCAGATATGGGACGTCATTCACGCGTAGTTCACGTGCGTGGTTTGAGCGGAGAGAGTGGCGTTTGATGCCACGTCCCGGCAATCCTTCCTTTCTATTTTAATTTTAGTTTTGAATGAAGGAAGTGTCTTCGTGTGCGAGTGGATCGTCTCAGCTCTGGTGATCGGACGTGTAGAGGTAACTCGGGCTGGTAACTTCGGGCTCCACGTAGACAGGTGCTCGTATGCATGTGGCATTCAAGTAGTGGCTCTGAAAAATTTTTCCGTCGGCCATGCGCGCCTTAGTCGGTTGCGATGGCTATGATGCACTCCAACATTGGCCATCCAAACCCGGTAGGAGACAAGAACCTTTACTTTGATCACTTCAGCGAACTTACAAGCTGCGTGCATGTCCCTTACACCAAATCATCACACAACTATGTCAGAGGCAGCGTTATGACGCACCAGGTGCAGTTAGTCTAATGCTGAACGTTATTTTCTGTCCATAATCATATACACTGGGCTCTTTCCAGTGACTGAATGTGGGGTGGTATGTTGTTTCAATAAGAAATGGGACATAGTGCGCAAGGTATTGCACATAGACAGTGCTTCCAAGTTTGAAGTTACGCATTTGTACATGTCGCTTGAAGCGACTACATTACAATGCCGAATCAACTAGCCCAAACTGAGGCTTTGCGAAAAAGAAACTTCCTTGGCCTTGGCAGAGACAAGCTTCTTTGTCGGAACATTGGCTCTGGGGACATTTCTTGCTTCCAGGAATTCATTTCTAGCGTTCTTCATTTTGTTGTTGATTTTCTTTTCGAGTCGGTGCAAGCGCATTCTTAATTCTCTTGTTTGTCCATGTTCTTGAAGTACTTGAATTAGTTAAGCCTTACGGTCAACGTCAACTAACTAGCCCAACTTAGTGCGTGACGAGCCACCTGTTCCAGACGATGAACCAACGCATCCAGCAAAACATTTTATTGAGGAATCATGCTTTGTGATCTAGTTCACGACTCCATTACAAAAGATCTTGACGGAAACGGTGCCCGGAAATAGTGCGACGCCACACTATCTAATGCAGTGAGACATTACAACTACGCATACGTTTCTTTTTTTACTTTAAAAAGTGTTCTTTATTGCGGCAAGTAAGAAAGAAAGGGGCATTTTTTCGCTTGGGACCTGCGCAGTATTTTTGCGTAGTCTTTCTCTTTCTGGTAAGTTCCCGCGGCCTTCAACCGATATACTGTCTACGTTCCTTTGGTGGTTGTGGCTGCTGGTATTTTCACTGAAAATGAAAATATTAGAGTAATACGGCAATGTTAGGACGCCTTCAAGACAAAGGCTTTAAACTTTAGCATGCTGCCCCATTCGACTGTGTAGCTGCAGAATATTTTTCATCGCTGTCAGATAATCGTTATGCTGATTTTACCATGGTCCTGTGTCACACCTTCAAGTGTGTCTCGCTCAAAGTTATGGATATCGAGAGGAAACCAGACATATTTCAAACCAAATCAAATCAAATCAAATCTTTATTTTGAACAATTTTTTTTACAATTTGTCGGGGGTCCTTCAGGCGAAAAGCTGTTGCAAAGAACTTCAGAGTGCCTGAAGGCCCTTCATGACAGCATGCACTATACACAGCGCGCAACAAAATAAGGTAAGTGTACATGAGTAGTATTAATAACACATTAGTAAGAACATATAAAAATGAGTTTTTGTCGGTAATTTGACACAGTTGTTGAAAAGCAAAACGCAGTAAAACAATGCAACTTCATGTGATCTTTAAAACTAGAAGTAAGTATCATAAATATAAATACCACAGAAATGCATACCATATAATAAAGAAAGCGATACTTTTACCATTTGTGTACTAAGTCTACATACTTGTTCTCACACACAAGTGTCATGCATCATTAGAGAGAGAAAAAAGAAAATCACAGCGTATCCATGAACTGAATGATGATGAGTGGGGCGGAGCGTCCATCAGTCCGTCCACGCTTCTGTCAGTCTGTTCGGTCTTGCTTCCATCCGTCCGTCCGAGCGTACGTTCATCCGCCCGTGCGTGCGTCCCTCCATCTAGCGACCACTCCAAGTACCGCCTTCTCGCATATTTTCATCATATATTCATCTTATAGAAGTACCGCCATCCAGCGGGCATTCCAAGGACTAAACGAGAGGTGGCTACCTGCTACAACCACTACGACTACTACTACTATTTACAGCGTGGACGCACGACCCACGGCATAAGGGGCTTTGCCCTTAAAAAGGATGTCTTATGTCTTTCCGGGTTATGCCATGAACATCAATTTTTTTCGTTTTCATACTTATTAAGAAGTGAAGGGACATTGTAAACAATTGATTGCATTAGGTGATTAGCACGTCTTTTCGGGACAAGCCATTTGTCCTGACTACGGGTGAGTTGGTCACTTAACTGATTGATTGATTGATTGATTGATTGCTTGATTGGTATGTGGGGTTCAACGTCAAAAAACCACCATATGAGAGACGTCGTAGTAGAGGGCTCCGGAAATTTTGACCACCTGGGTTTCTTTAACGTGCGCCAAAATCTGAGGACACGGGCCTACAACGTTTCCGCCTCCATCAAAAATGCAGCCGCCGCAGCCGGGACTCGATCCCGCGACCTGCGGGTCAGCAGCCGAGTACCTTAGCCACTAGACCAGCGCGGCGGGGCGACGCTTGTTAGTGGTCCGATGGTACGAATGACTCATTCGGGCTTTGATTTTCAGATGGATATTGTTGCAGTGTATAGGACGCTTGCTCAGTTGGTTTCGTAGGTGAACTCATTTAACCTAGTACACGTGCGCATTCTCATGTCACTCGTTTAGTTTAACTGGTCACGTTTGATGAGGTGAGCCAGAGGTTCACAAGTAATAAACAGGAAAAGAATGTTCCCAAAATAATTATGATTCGTTGCGCGGCAGCTCAAAAAATAAAATACTTCTGCGCCGACCTTTCTCCATTTGATGTCCGTGTGGAAACAGGGTGAAGTTGCCTTCAACATTTTTAGGTGCGTAAAGTGCTCATGGTAGGAAGCTTATAGCGGAATACATCTCACGATGGTTTTTCGAAGTTAATGCAAACTGTATTTAATGAATATAAAATAACTCTATACCACAAAAACCGAAGATCATCATGTATCAACCGTATACTCGTAGCGAGGCTGTTCTTTTTGGCCTTTTTTTTATCCGTAACTAACTACCATATTTCATAACCTGATTACCCCCCCACCCTTTTTTTTCTCTCCATCTATCTAACATCTGAAATAAATATGCTTAAGTTGTACCTCCATCGCCATGTCGGTGGTTCAGAGGTCTAGAATACTCGCCTGTCATTATAGAGCTTTCTTCCAAAACAACACCACTTTATCGTCGTGTCAAATTTCAGTGTAGCAATAAAGTGATAGCGATGGTTTGTCAAAGGAAAAAAAATCTGCCTGTCAACAATTCAGTAAAGTTTGGATTCAGCAAGTGCAAATATTTTTCCGACCATTCTTAAGCAAGCTACTCTTATAATAACGTCCGTATAGGGTGCTGATCTAGACATTGTCAAATTCAATGGATACGAAAACGTGCTTTATTTCAGTATTGAGACCTCGAAAAACTCCGGGGCAGAAAAAAATTATTCGGAAAGTAATACCATGGTTTGTTTGTTGCTATGGGTGCGTTTTTTTTTAATATCGCTGTATAGGTCCGGATATTTTAACTCATTCCGGTGACATCGAATCTGCCAATCCTCCTGCTATATACGCTGCATTGTGCTGCATTGCCTGTTTATACCACAACGTTCTCTAAGTGGGAAAATATATAATATAACAAAGTTCACACATCGTTGTTTTACTCCTAAAAAGTCTATTTAATGCACGCCGACTTTTTCACGTTTCCTGAAAGGGAAAAAAAGAAAACGTCGCAGCACTTTCAATAGTTGTGGAAACGCTGCACAGGTGAGGCGTTCCTTTTGAATAAAGTTTTCCTGTTGGCTTTGTCTTGCAGTTTGTTTTTCTTTCTTCTTCAATTTGAGCTTAGGGCTTCTTTTTAACTGAAACAATGAAACAGCATTGAGTTGTTATAACGTTAAGGGACTGATAATGGAGCAGCTGGGCCTGTGTGCTCAGATTACACTACGGCATCTCTCATAACCATGTGGTGGTTTGGGACGTTAAACCCCATACATCATTCAATCAATGTGTAATTTAATTATTGTATCTTAATATACAAATATTTGGGTGGAGTGTAGGAAAGAAAGCGAAACAATCAGCTGAGTTGTTCTTATTTTCTCTTTGTAATATACAGCCGCATGACACCAACAGAATGGACAATTATGTGAGATAACGTAATAGGTGTTCTTAAGTTAAATGTAACTCCACTGAAAAACTGACGAAAGGGAATAGAGCAAAAGAGAAAAAAGGGGTAAGTAGCTCCATTGAAAAATTGTTCTATTTTTGAAATTGAGAAAAAATTAAGTTTATATTTAATATAAGAGCAGAGTGCATTTCATACTCTAGATACTTTATGAAGCTCATTAGTAGGCTACATGACGAGGCTAGTGAGTATTCTAGCATCCTGTCAAGCAGCTATAAACGAGATGAAGGACGCAGGTGAAAAAAAAGAATATAACAAGCGCTTTCCATCTGCAGCGCTTGCTTTCATCATTTTCTTTTTTTCTCAATTCTGTGGCAAATATTGCGTTTCTAAAATACTCCATAATAGTGGTTAATATTCAAGATGGATGAGCCAAAAGTGGTCCAGCCCGCATGACAGACGATGATGATCACTACAGTGGTTTGGTCATACAGATGAAGCATATAATCAGCGCTCACAATATATTAATGTGGGAAACACTCATGTATTGATGCCTTCTTTAGAAAATAATATAGCCAATTTCAAGTGTAACGAAAAAGTCACATCTTTTAAGCAAAGGCGAAGCAACAAACGCAATAGCAACAAATCGGAAGGTCGCGTGCAAAATGGCAAGCATATCGAAACGCGCCCCGCATTTCTCACGCACAAATGACGCGCGAAACGTACTCACAGGTACAGATGAACGCGAATAAGCGTCTCAGTTGTGACTTCGCTGTGTCTGAAAAGCGCGCCCTTTTCGCAAACGGAGACTGTGCAACGATTGCAGTGACCTTTGTGCGCCCGGTAACTACAACAGATTTGTTCCGGTGAAAGCCCAACTCCAGCTAAGACGTTTGATTTTTCCGACCGGGAGATAAAGGCGCACGAGAGAACGCCCACTACCCTCCTCTCCGCGGACCAAAGTACGCGTGGGAGATGAGAGCCGCCGCCCGCTCAGTGCCCCATATTGCTGATAATGCTGAAAACACGATAGTTCCCCCCCCCCCCGTATGCCCGTCAACAGCGGTGAGTGGTAGATATAAGTAGCTTGCCGTTTGAACGTTGAAGGAGTTGCTTCTCCGTGGCTCAGAGGTAAACGCATCGAATTCACAACTGAGAGGTCCCACGTTCGATTCTGCACGCCAGAGTGTTTTTCTGGATGTTCTTTTCTTTCTTGGTTTTCATATATATATATATATATATATATATATATATATATATATATATATATATATATATATATATATATATATATATATATATATATATATATAGGGAGTGACGAGGACGCCTACACCGACGCCGGCGGCAAACTCCCGCCGAGAGTGTTCATATGATTGCTATCTCAATAAAATGAAACTTTTTTGAGAATGTTGTTTCTTCATTAGACCAAGTCAAGCTAGTTGTAATAGAAATCTACCAGAGATTCTAAAACAAAGCCGGCATTGTTGCGTTTGGAATCTAGATGTAAAATTAGTGGCAGCGTTGCACTGCCTACGACTGAAGCTGATAAAAACTCGATATCAGCTCCGCTTTTCTTGTATCTGCTGACTACAGCATGACTCTGCCTTATGCCAACAAAACGAGCATTTTCGCCGCAACCTCTACTGCTATTAAAGTTCGAAATTCCTCCATCCTAGCTTGAACATGTACTGCCAAGATGCCAATCCAGAATGTACTGAGGTATTTCCCGACACTGGCGTATGGCTACCTGTACGGCCTTTCTCGCGCTAGACAATCCGAGAAAGGTGGCGTGCGTGACATTTCGGATTCAGCAGCAGGCATGGAGGTGATATTTATTTACTTATTTATCAACACCGCTACAATGCAGGACAAGAGGAAAGTCGGTATTGGTGCAAAACGACGGGTTTTTACGTTTCACACCGACGACGAAGTCCTTCTGTGGTCACCTGTTCGTGCACCAGGGCTCTGTGAAAAAATTCCGTCACATGTATGTCGGTCCATACACCGTGCTGGAACAAACATCTGATGTAAACTATCGCGTCGCTCTTGTCAACGTGGCTCCTGATCGTCCTCACCGCAGGACCCAGATCGCTCATGTATCTCGACTGAAACGATACATTCGGCGTCCCACCCTCTCTAACCTGCTGCCCTCTAATGCGAAAAAAGAGAAAAATAGTGTGAGCACTGACTATTTCCTCTTTTAAAAGGGAATAAAAAATCAATTCAAAACTAAAAAATCAATTCTTGAGCAACCTGTAAATGCTTCTTTTTCTCTTTGGTGGTAAGCACTTACATTTGTATAAATATACGCTGGTGAATTTTGTAAACCTAGCATTTATTTTCTTCTAACTAAACCTTGTGATAGTTTGATGTTCTTTATGTATTTTAACTGATGTTTTTGTGGTGTGTCCACGAAGTTATCTGTCATAACTTTTTGTATGCGCACATGCAGTTTTGTTTGTTGTGATCAGATTGTTTAAGAAGAGAGAGACTTCTCTACTCTGTATATGTGTATATTTACAGTGTCTGTATAGCTACATATGTATTATGTGTAATTGATATTTCCCGCTTCTGTCCATTACTTTTCTCATTGGACCCTACACTAGCCTCAGGCTATGGGTCCAACCAGTGTTTGTAAACCTCATGAGACAAATGATAATAAACGTTCAATCAATCAATCAATCAATCAATCAATCAATCAATCAATCAATCAATCAATCAATCAATCAATTTGCTTCATCATCATCTGTATATCCAACAAAAATTGTAATCATTATCATCGTTTGACGCGCGGTCTGCGCTGCTTGCAGCTCGCACGCCTGCGTTGGAAAATAGAACGGTAGTTTCGTCATACCTGACGTCTCCTCACAATATATATTTACCACAAAATATCCGTTTAAAATGTATAAATAGAACAAACGTGAGATATTGCCACACATGCTCCTTTCACGTGTAAATACTACCTTGCGCAAATCGCAACCAAATAGTCCGAGAGCATTCGAGATTATTCTGGCATCCGATCTTTGGGCTTGATCACACAAACGCGAGCATCCGAGTTGATCCTAGAACAAACGCGGCCGCCAGTGATAATGCTCGAATGTTTCGCGCCGCATATATAAACTCCAACGCGCCGGGCATCGGATCGATTGATCGACGGCCCACGCTATGTTCGTGCGAGTGTGTATTGCATGCTGTATTCTGACCTTCCGTTTAACGGCCATCATTTTGGCCAAATAAACGGTTTCATCTTCGACATGCCGACTGCTGCCTTCGCCAACGTCACGGCTAGGGGACAATGTTTTGATTCTGTGGATCAGCTCCTGATGTAGAGCATCCTTTTAACCACCGGAATAGCGCACAGACTGCGAAAAGCAGTCGTGATGTTTAATATTCAACCAGAGTGGACCATTTCAGATCTCTATCTACTTTTGCCACTCCGTTTTTCCAATAAGCTGACGTTCTTGGCTCGGGTCATTCTGAATGTCCAGCAAGGTGAGTAATAATGTTTGCTCAATACCTAAAAATTAGAAAATAAAGAATACCATCTGGAACCTTCGTTTGCTTTACCTGCGACAATACTTATTTTATTTGATATCATTTTCAGAAATAGAAAGTTACCTACTAACATCTAACCAACATTTCATTTGATGAAGTAATATAAATAATTATATAACACACAAGCTCTTACGTATGCATGCCTCTTCACAGTCAGTCTTCGTTTTATAGTTAGTGCCAAGACGGTTGCAGTGCTGACTGGTGGCGCATTTACCAGAGAATTGACTGTAGTAATGAAATGGTATTTTTTCGTCGCAGTACTCTGGGTTGAACTCAAGAGGAGTAACGCATGGATTGCCTGGAAATAGTAAAAAAGACGTAGAACATGTGATAAGTAGAGATTCCTTAGCGCACCGCAGGCCTATGTGTCTTACAGATTAATTGATGTGTGGGGTTTAACGTCCCGAAACCACCATATGATTATGAAAGACGCCATGGTGGAAGGCTTCAGACATTTCAACCACCTGGAGTTCTTTAACATGCACCCGAAAGCACACGCGTGTCTTACAGACTGGTGTGATGTATAGAACAGGTAAAATATTAATCAAAACCTTAAAACGAACATAGAGCGCACCCAGAGTTCTTTATTCTTCGCTTTGTCCAAATTAGCGCAATAATAATTGGTGTTATATTATTCAACCTTGAAGACGTGTTTGAAAAAGTCCCAACTTTGCCGGAAAGGTGAAGCAATGAACGCGATAGCAACAAATTAATAGGTCACGTGCGGAATGGAAAGCAGATTGAAACGTTCCCCGCGTTTCTCACGCACAAATGACACACGACACTTACTAATAGGTACAGGTGAACGCGAATAAACGTCAGTTGTTACTTCGCTGTGTCTGCAAAGCACGCCCTTTTCGCAAACGAAGACTGTGCAACGTTTGCAGTGACCTTTGTGCGCCCAGTAACTACAACAGGATCGTTGCGGTGAAAGCCCAAGGCCAGCCAAGACGATTCTCCCCACCGCGAGATAAGCACACGCGTGGGAGTCCACCCCGCCCCTTTTACCAGGGGTCAAAGTCGGCGTGGGAAATAAGCACGCGCACCACCGCGTCATGACGATGTGGCGACGCGCGCTTATTGCGCCATCTTGCTGGTAATGCTGAAAACACGATAGTTCCTGCCGAGATGCCCGTCACCAACGGTAAGTGGTAGACATAAATAGCTTGCCGTTTGAAAGTTCAAGGAGGTGCTCCTTTGTGGCTCAGTGGTTAACGCATTGCCTTCACAACTAAGAGATCCCGTGTTCAATTCCACGCTCCGGAGTCTTTTTTTTAGATTATTTTTATTTCTTGCGTATTGTTATATATAGATGATTTTGCATATACGGTGAGTGATGGCGAAGCCGACGCCAATGGTAAAATCCAGCCGAGAGCGTTCATACATCGCTATCGCAATAAAAATTGGCTCTTCGTAATGAGGCAATGAATACATCAGTCTGGACACTATAAAAATGTATTTTGCAGACAATCCGTGAAAAATTGGTGAGCTTTTTAGTTTTTTTTACAGTTGTGTATTTTCATTATTTATCATTTTCCTGATATAGCAACTGGCACTTCTCGAGCAGAATCGGACAGTTCTCATTACCCAGAAGTTATTCATAGGTTGCAGAGCTGTCAGTGATTTCTGCACTATACAGTGAACACCATTGTTGCTTTCTGTCAGCGATCTGTATCTTCCACTTTCATCAGCTCCAAAGGGCACATTGGGTTGAGACGAACCGCAGCGATGCTGGCGCTGCCTCCCGTTTGAGGGGGCAGCAGGCGTAGGATGATAAAAACGGAGTAAACTTAAGTTCTCCAGCTATCTACTCTGCATGTTGGATGAGGAATTAGCGAGTGAAGGAGAGAGTGAGAGAAAGCATAAGTAAATGTTATTTATAGTTAACATGCACAGTGCAGCGTTACTACAAGAATAACTTAAAGGGGCACCAAAGAGCAAGACGATTTTTCGCGTATTAGTAGAGTGAAATTTCAAAATCCTGAGAAAAAAAAAACTCGCGACGCTAGGATAGCGAGAAAACGTGCTAATGGAAAATGTGGGTGGCCACACCGCTTTGAAGTCCCCGCACCAAACACCATGATGTCACAGATTTCGAAGGCGTCTACTCGGTCCTACGTAGCTTCTTATTGGTGAAAATAGAGTACTTCGTCGTCTAGTGTGTGCCACAGACCTAGAACACGAAACTTCAGAAAATGTCATTGAGCCAATGTCGCGAAGATAAGAAAAACATTTTGCAATTTTCGGCGTCATGCGCAGAGATCTCAGCGCGAAATTCAATAATGAATCTTCAACTATTATTTTCTCCACTAATAATGAACTTCTCCCTTCTCCCCGTAACGCCTTCTCCCCGTAACAATATGATAGTGAAGCATATGGAATTGAAGTTCTCAGAGTGCAGTTTGTCGATCTATACTAAGTCAATGTTTCTCTTTAGTGTCCCTTCAAGGGAGTTTTCTTCAATGGCTTATGGCAGTGTGCACACAGACAGAAGTATGTATTGCACGCCTTTTTCTCTTTTTGTATAATCTGTTTTGTCTTTTTTGATACGCGCTGCCGTAAAGTATCACGAGACAACACGCCAACGCTTACGCCTTAAGTTGTTCTGAAGCATACGGTTTGGGCTTGTGCGGCTGTCGGCGCTGATGAGTTGGGTGGCTAGCTCCCAGAGCTTTTCCTGAGTAAGAGGTTGATCTTCAAGTCTGCTCAAGACATACCGGAAGGCCTAGTTTTGTTTATCAAAGTGTAATATCTGGCATTTAACGTCCCGAAACTACCATCCGATTATGAGAGACACCGTAGTGGAGAGCTCTGAAAATTTCGACCATCTAGTGTTTTTGAAGTGCACTGACATCTGACAGAAAATCCGCCTCTACCATATCGCCTCCATCAAAATGCGCCGGGATCCAACGCATTGTTTGTCAAAGCAGGAACAGTGGCAGAGAGGTAATTACTGATTTCATCACGTCTTCAAGCGTGCTCATTGGGTTAATCAGTCATTCTATAACAATAGCTTCGTTAGCATAGGAACGTTACCTAAGCTTCAATAGACATGGTATCATCATGTCACGTAGTAAAATGTTTAGTAGAATTTCAAGCTGTAACGACCTGTATGAACCTGTATAACGACGATTGCATTTGAGCGATTTAACGTGGCACTGCGCGCAACGTGTTCTAGTTTCATTTCTGAATCTGTATTGATAAATGAGTAAGACGATCAGCACTGTATCGCGTATAAGTCTGGCATAGTTGCTTAGAAAGTGGTTCCCAGTGACGTCACAACGTCCCTGTAGACGCTGTTACGTCGTTTGACTGTAAATTACTCGCTGATGTAAGCCGCCAACGCCAATTGACGGCGCACCTATAGCTTGGCCAAAGGCGTAAGAAATTTCGGAGACGGGTGGATAGATGCGACCGCCTTTACGCATGTTCGTTTGTTTTCGTGCGTGCTGACAGCTGGGTTTGGGTCCTTCATTCGCTCGAATGCAAACGGCGTCCAATAGATACAATCACAAAGCACACGAAAACGTTGAAAACACCAGCGTAGTGACACGTGTCTCCATCTTTAGTCCTTCCCTGTTCGATAAAACAGTAGGCTGAGAAAGCTGCGTGAAATGTCGAAGTTTTAAATCCCAACAAAAGAATATGATCATGAGGGACGCGCTGTGGAGGGCTCCGGACATTTTTACTAAATGGTGTTCAGTAACGCGCGCCGAAACCGAAGTGTGTGGGACTGTATAACTTTGCCTCCATCGAGGTGTATCCGCTGCGGCCTTGATTTATTTGTGGAGTTTCATGTCCCAAAACAACCATATATGATCATGGGAGACGCCGTAGGGGAGCGCTTTGGAAATTTAAACCACCTGGTGTTCTTTAACGTGCACCCAAATGTGAGCACACGGGCCTACAACATTTCCGCCTCCATCGGAAATGCAGCCGCAACAACCGGGATTTGATCCCGCGACCTTCGAGTCAGCAGCCGAGTACCTTAGCCACTAGACGCCTGGATTCGAACCTACGCCCCTCGGTTCAGCAGTTGAACACAATAACCACAACAACACTGCGGTAGGCTCTCCTCAAAGGTTGCTTGCTGGTGATGAGCGGAGGTTGGGAGGATAAAGTTACACAAAATGGCCTACTTTCCGTTTACCGTGCATGTCATAAATAAGACACCTGTAGTTTTATGACGACAAATGTTCAAGAGCATATGAAGACAAACCTATGAAAATTGATGAAACGGAAAATGTCTCTGACGCCACATGGTCCAAGGCCAGCAGGCCTTTCTTGGCCCAGAGAGTCAGGACGGTGGCTTCATCCAAAAGGGACTGGAAATAGAGACTACCCCTAGTCTGTAGGGACCTCCAAAGAGGTCCTAGACCTCTCTTTTTTGAATAAATGCTTTTCACCACCACCACCACTTGGTGCGTAATCATGCATGGTCATGAACTATTAATTAAATACGACCTTATTGAGAACTAACAGTGCAGAGATTCAACCCAAGAAAAGTGTAGAAGACGTTACTGGTAGCTATTATGGTACAAGTGTAAGGAAATAATAGTGGACGAAAACAACTTTGCGCCAGGAGGTACCGAACACCTCACCTTCGAATAACGCCCCACTGCTCTACCACGTACTGAGCTACGTCAATGGTCGTCCTGCCGTCCCTATTATCTCGTATAACGGTTCGTTTAAACCTCAGAGTGTTATCCAGCATCACTCGCAGTCATGTCGGTGAGTGTGGAACATTTTTTTTCTTGGTTGCTGGTGCCGTAGAACAAGTCATCTTTTTTCGAGCTGGCAGCTCACTAGTGAACTCTCATATACTACCTGAAGGTATGAAGTGTTCCAAATTGAGACCCTCGTTATGGGCTGTTACGGGCTTTTATGCTGCTCTTCTTTCACGAACGGTAAATAAATGGCCCGCATATCCTGTAAGCTACGGCCACTCACATCCAGATAAAAGAGATTCGAATGAGATATGGCAGCACGCGTGACTGGGTTCGTTATGTGATACAGATAACAGCAATGATCGTTTTGTCATTCAGTTCTTCGTTGCACGGGCGCGAGTATTCATGTAAATGACGCCATCATTATTCATGACATGCCACTGACTAACTGAGATCTAGACGCTCCCACAATCGTGATACGTAAATGAAGGTGTCTACGCCTACACAACCGCTTTTCAAAGTGTGACTTTCGAAACCAACTTTCGATTCCGTCACTTTTCAAAGATTCGTCGCACTGAACACTTCTGCGGATTAAGAACCATCGTACATACCTCGACAAATAACATGGCACTCATGCAGAGACGCAAACCTATTGAAATTGCCACCACATCCATTATAGAGGAACAAAGTACATGTCTGATTGGCACTGTCAAAATAATAGGCTAACTCCTTCTTGTTTCTGCAGCTCTTCCCGATTTCACGTGGAAGTAAACAATCTGAATCTGCGAAACACACAAAAAGCTGCGTTAGAAGAGTCATAACAGGTCATTACGCAGCAAGGTATAAGGAAGAGTTTACTTATTTTAAAAGGGCTAATTCTGGGAAAAGCACGCCGCTTAGTCACCCCTTGCCCAACATAACCTATGTCACTGTTTTTTTTGTTCTTACAGTGCTTATATGCCTATTCCTTTTCTATCGTAATACTTGAGGCTTTATGACACTAAACCACAATATGACTGAGGGACGTCGTACCTCCGTAGCTCCAATAATTTTGACCCCTTGGGGCTTTTCAAAAGAGACTGAAATCTAAGCGATCGGCACTCCAGCATTCTGCCTTCATCGAAACGCGGCAACCATGGCCAAGATCGAAGCTGCAACCTTCGGTTCAGCCACCGAGCACTATCACCACTACACCAACACGGTGTACAGCCTAATGCATGCCTCTGGCAAACGAACATTATTTATTTATTTATTTATTTATTTATTTATTTATTTATTTATTTATTTATTCATGTGCATTAAGGCCCAAGGCATTATAAAGGGGGGGAAGGTAATAGTATACATACATAGACAAACATAAAGTAATAAAACGTCTGAAACACTAAATATCATCGTGAAAAAAGAACAATGAAATGTAATTAGAAAAAGTACATAAAAAGTAATTAAAAGAAAAAAACTGCACTATATGCACTATATAAACAGCCTTCTGTGTGCAAGAGTAGCCCTTACGGTAATGCGAAAAGGTAATCTGCTAATGCGAGAGGATTTTGCCTTCACTGAGCCAATTAAAGGTAAAATAAATTACAACAGACAGTTATAACTTACCTAGCTTAGTGGGACAGAGGGCCTAGTGATTCCGTGGGTACGAATACGTATGCGCAACACGCTGTAAGCGACCTGTTGCCTTTACCGTACGCACACTGTATTTCAGTTTTAGTGCTACCGTGTTTGCGCGGTTTACGTAGCATACCTAAAACATGGCGGTAGTTTTGAACGCTTACGTTGAAGTAAATTCAGCTTTGGTGAGGATATGGCAAAGAACAGAGTAAAATGACTTCGCTTGTCTTCTGGTAGCTTCGACGACCGAGTATTACGGATAACTCAGCCTAGTTTTTGAGATAGCTTCCCATCTCAACATCCTTACGCCTAACTAGGAGATCAACGTAAACGAATCCGCAACATCAAAGCTTGAATATTTAGCGCGTAGCTATTTATTTGCTTTTATTGTTACAAAAAGTAGTAACATATTGCAGTGCGCAGTGAACAAGCCAGAATTCTCCGTTGCGTTTTTTTCTTTAATATATTTTAAAGCATTCACCCTATGCTAGGTGGCGCCACCACCCGAACTTAATGTGCATGCAAACGCTACACCGCGAAATTATAACGGGCTGCCAAACGAACTTTTCTCGGCACGGTAACGCTATTCTCTTAACCCCCGCTATAACTGTAACGTTAAACTAACGGTCTACTGATCATGACGAGATGTAGCTTAGTGTGTTGCTCTTCTGATTCGTGGTAGGTAATTGTCACCAAGCTCAAGAGCTGTCCATGCAATGTGCTTCAGTTTATCTAAGCCACTTGACACATATCTTACGGAATAAATCTTTGTCCGTCTCAGCTCACGCTGCAGACCCTCACGCGCAAACTTGTGGGCACTGCCATCACTCACAATGAATATTTCCGCCCGAGAACTAGTAAAAGTTATGGTATGTCATTTGGGTGCCAAAGCCTCGATATGACAATGGGACACGCATGAATATGACGTCCTCCGAGGCGTACATATTCTGTGTACTCGCATGTGTTGAATTCTACATAAATAGAAGGCGGTCGCTGCGGCAGGAAATTGAACGCAAGCATTTATGCTTAGCTGCGGTGAAGCACAGCTCTATTTAACAGCAAAAAAAACAACAACAATAAAAATCATCCTATAAAGCTGTCCCCTACACTGTATTTTATTCAACGCAATAAAATATAATTTATGAAGAAGTAAACATACATCCCAGTCTGAGGGAAACTGATACAGTTGATTTGCACAGCGACACCTGCTCCACGAATAGACAAGTCAAAAGAGCAGAAAAGGAGAATGACATTTTTATAGCAAATAAAAGATAGTAGTACAAACGTGCGCGACAGTGCCAGTAGCAGAGTTCCACTGTCGGAAAACAGTTCCGTTTGCCAGCGTTCACGGATTTCCCTTCCACTGGTTCACAAATGTGTGTCCTTGCGTTGTAACAGTACCATCGCGCATTAGGGTTGATGTTAAAAAAGTTTGTATAGGTCCGGCACTCTTCAGACGAAGAATCAGCAGCAGCAGTGGCGACAGTGAAATCCGCTGAAAGTGAAATATTCTTTTACAATGTTGGAAAGTTGGGTTGTCTATTTGAATTTATTTGAATTTATTTGAGTTTGAGCTTCAAACACTCCCACGTTCAATTCACATATAAACCAATAAAGTGGCTGGGGGGACAGCTGTCGTGGTAGCTCACTGGTAGAGCATCAAACGTGTCATTCGAAGGTCGCAGGTTCGGATCCTGCCCACGGCAAATTTATCTTTTCACCCACTTTTCTTCATATTTACATTACAATTCTGTCTAATATCTTCCCCTATACTTCCCTTGGCATTATTGTCTGTTAGATCTTAATAATATTGTGTAAAACACAGAAAAACGAGCCCTTAAGTACACTTCTTTCCTTATTTCATCAACGAGGGTCTCGCACTGGCAGACTTAGTGCCTTTAGGTTGCATACGGGGGACTATTGGTCAGCGGCCCACTCGTAATAGGTTCACGTGCTACGTAACGCCAAATAGGCTCAAAAGAGTATGCTACACTCGCCGCCATGGCTACTGGTGGCGCTGACTGACACTACCACGTTTAATTCACATATAAACTGAATAAAGTGGCTGGGGGGGAAAGCTGTCGTGGTACCTCAGCGGTAGAGCATCGAACGCGCCATTCGAAGGTCACAGGTTCGGATCCTGTCCACGGCAAAGTTATCTTTTCACCCACTTTCCTTCATATTTACATAATATATATATATATATATATATATATATATATATATATATATATATATATATATACGAACTAGTAACAATTTAGTACAGAGGTCCCTCAGAACACAATGAAGCGTAAAGCCGTCTAAGATTCCTGAAATAATGACAGCGCTTTGTTCTAGTTTATCAGGCAAAATTGTGTTCCACTAGTTTTAATATTTCGCTAATTTTGGAAATTTGACACGTGTGTACATGGAACATCGCAATCTGCATGTTTTATGCGAACGTGTGTGGGCTCAATTATATATTGAACCCGATTCCCAGTTCGCATCTCCCGCAAGAGCGAAGGAAAAAAAAACAGCATTACTACACACTAACGAAAGATTTTCTGAGGATGATGATAGTAAGGATTAATGCATTTTAGAGCTCTGTAGCCAATAAAGACCAAACCCTTCAGGTCATCATTCGGAGCTGTCGCAGAGCTGTAGCTCTGGCTTAGCATTTATGTATTCAGAGCTCTATCAGCAACTGAGCCATGGTGTCCTACGTTCAAGACAAAGATTTTTCATTCCGGCGGGCGATGCGTTAGTGTTAGGAAAATTCCACTTTATAAATAAGAAGGTAACAATCCTAGAAACAACGTGAAAAAAAAAACAGTAGCAACTGATACAATAGCATATATAAGGTGATGTCAATTATTTTTAGCGGCGAGTGGCGTCTTTTCACCTTTTGTCATCCTGCTTTCCTCTTCAAAGAATGCTGAAGACGACGATGAAAAAAAAACAAAAACAACTAGCACTCAAGCATATTCGACCCCAAAGGCTCAACAGGGCTTCAAACTTCATCGCAAGTAGAACCTTTACAGATGATGTTGCAGTGTTGGCTGCGTGCTTTTTAATGATGTTTTCGGACGTTGATGCCTTATTTCGCATAGACTTCCTAATAAGAAGAGTATCGTAAAATGAATTTCATTTTCCGAAACAGTTCCTAAGCTCGCGAGCTGGAGGTCACCCTAGTTGGGAGGGTCCCTCATTCGAGGAATCTTCTGGCCGCAGCCACCTCCTGGGTCCTGGCGACGAATCTTCGTTGGCCATTACGTCCCGTGTGGATATGTGTGTTAATGGGAAGACAAAAAGCTAGGACCTCAAGAAAAACAGGTGCTTCACAACAGTTTGTCAAGGGCTGCCGCCACAAAGCCTCTCTCTCTCTCTCTCTCTCTCTCTCTCTATATATATATATATATATATATATATATATATATATATATATATATATATATATATATATATGAGACATGGCACAACGGGAGCGTTGTCAACAAGGATAAATATATTTATTTCCCGACAGTTTCGGGAGGGGTCCTCCCTTCATCAGGCGATGAGTTATACTAACTCATCCCCTGATGAAGGGAGGACCCAGGGGCGGCGCCAGGATGTTTTTACTGGGGGGGGGGGGGGCAACCACGAAAAGTGAGTTCCTCCGGGGGGGGGGGGGGGGCAAGCTAGCTCTGCTCCTACTATAGGTTTTCAATATATGCTTCCGGGCACTTGGGTGGGCATAGGGGGGCAGGTGAGAACTTTGGGGGGGCTCGAGCCCACCCTTGCCCCCCCTGGCGCCGCCCCTGGGAGGACCCCTCCCGAAACTGTTGGGAAATAAATATATTTATCCTTGTTGACGACGCTCCTGTTGTGCCATATCCCATACCTTCACGAAGACTAACTGGCCCATTGAATTATTACTCCACTATATATATATATATATATATATATATTATATATATATATATATATATATATATATATATATATATTTATATATATGACGGCAGATATACGACTTGTCACACTGCGACAACTCAATACATAATAACGCTATGCCTACCAAAAAACACAAATGACGGATTTGCTTACCAGAAGATGTTACGAATAGTGTGACAAGGTTGTGCACGAAGAGTCTCATCTTATACAGATGAAGAAAATGACTGCTACTGCGTTGCGCTGCTAGTGTCCCACCAATGCCCATATAGTCGTGCACGTATTTGTGACAGTGAATGGTAGGGGCTACGAGGTTTAACACGTCAGAGTTTGTTTCTTAATCTGGAATGGTTATTTGAGAACGTCTTCGTATGGTAACGTCCCAATAAAAGTGCATCAACAGGTTTTATTCACATTAGCTATTACTGCAGGTCTGATTTCTTTGTCGGCCAAAGTCGTTGACAGTAAAACATTTAAGACTATGAAGACTCAACATTTAAGACTATGAAGAGTTATAAATGGTATGTGAGCCTATAACCTATCAAGCTGTCTCCAGATCTACAGGCATATTCTAATGCGTTCAGCGGCTACGACCCATATCTCCATCAATTTATAATGGCACGGTGCCTCAACGCTCAACTGTTTGAGACTGCAAATTGTCTTTCCCACCAGGATCTTGTAAACGGAAGAAAAACAGTAAAAGTAATAATGACGCAATGCATTACTAACGATGCTCTCTTGAATAGTGTATATCGGAATGTATTCAGCACTCCACAAACCAAGGACGCAGTCATGTGAACACGCTAAAGGGCATTTTTCGCCCCTTTTATAGAGTCACTCAGCTAGCCAAATTACACAGTGAATGTGGCGTATGCTGTTGGATCACGTTGCGATATCGAGGAACACCGAATCCCAATGGTAGATTGTCAAGCGAGTAATGTTAACACCCTAGCAGGGACACACGCGCAACCCGTTCGCTGGTGAAGCCTCGCAAACGGAGTTGTGTTTGAGGGAACGAAAACGCGACAATGGCAGCGTCCCACGAAGCTCCACACCAAGCACGTGAAGTCGACTGTGAGGCAGGTTGGTTCCAAGTACAAGAATAATACACTAGAATAGTACACTATAATTTCAAGCTAGACAAGAGGAAAGCATTTCCTTTCGCACATGAATAACAACGCTGCCACGAGCTACCACAGGCCTGCACTCTCGTTATATAGCGCCACTGGTCACCAAGCCAAACCCGGTATAATCTCGACATTAGGACGAGGTGCAGGGCAAAAACGTAACATGTTTCTTGTATCTGTAGTTTTCTATTTCTTTCTTCCTCTATATTTCTATCTGTTTGTCGCTCTTTCTATACCTATTTCTATTTTCTCTTTCTTATGTCACTCATTGTTTCTCTCTCTCTCTTTCTCTCTCTTTTAGTTTGTTTCTATCTTACCATGTATTGTTTTTCTTCCCGTGTTGAAACAGCGTATACTTCGCCGAGCAAAATTTTTTTTGAACGCGCGCATCTGCTGTACTCGGTAGTTATGCTTGCTTAATTTCTGAGGCCCATTCGCACCGGTGGTTTTTCACGGACACCAAAGAACTACGCTAACATACACCATGCAACCATCAGAACAACAATTTTTATTCTTTGTGGAAACACGTTACAAATCTTCACTTGTTCCAATAAACCTTGTCTCGGTTTTTTATGGCACATTCCCTCACGCATTTAATGAAAATGCGCAAATATATAAATCGCTCTGGTCTCGTGAAGAAGCACTAGTAAAAAATATTTTATCGTCACTTTTTTTTTACGTGGTGTCCCAATCACGTCCCGAAGGACGACATTCTCGAGCACACAAGAAAAACAAGATGATAATCGAATCGTATTCTGATAAGTATGGCTTCTCTACGTCGCCCACTTTTCGCATGTAGTACAAGTGTACTACATTCTACTTCCCGGTTTTAAATTTCTTGTCACTTCTGTACCCTCTACAGTGGTCTAGGAATTGTGGTACTTGACTATTGACCCAAAGGTCACAGGATCGAATACTGGCCGGGACAACTACATTTCGACGGAGGCGAAGTGCGTCGATCGGCTCTATGACGCTGCTATCATACCACTGACTAATTCATCAGAACATCAGAGCCAAAAATACTGATTGAGTGAATTGAATATGGCACTGGCCTATATGAAGCAGATGCTTAGGGTCAATATTCAACCTTTAAAATATCGATTGAACGAAAGTCACCAATGCTAATATACCTTTAAATATCATCCTACTTTTACCTTAAAAAACTATTCCTGGGCAAAGTGTTAGGAACCACAGCAGGAAATAATCATAAGGTAATGAAATAAAGTTTTTACACGATTGCTGTTTTTTTTGTTAGATAGTGATAGATCTCCGTTGTCTGCAGACAATATTTTAGCTGTGGGAGTGAACACTTGCAGCTGGTGAACACTCTTGAGAGATTCTGAATGAGCCTACAATTATCCTGAGGTTTAATAAGCGGTTTCAACGAAAAGAAGGACAGACAAAAAAGATGAAGCCATGAAAAGAAACACTTCCTTAACAAGACTGATG